ATTTCTGATACTTTCGACTATCAGTCTCTGTAGTTTTAATGATATTTGAGGTATAGAGGATTTCAAAGGTATCAGAATTTCTGATACTTTGGACTACCAGTCTCTGCAGTTTTAATGATATTTGAGGTATAGAGGATTTCAAAGGTATCAAAATTTCTGATACTTTCGACTATCAGTCTCTGTAGTTTTAATGATATTTGAGGTATAGAGGATTTCAAACGTATCAGAATTTCTGAGACTTTCGACTATCAGTCTCTGCAGTTTTAATGATATTTGAGGTATAGAGGATTTGAAAGGTATCAGAATTTCTGATACTTTGGACTGCCAGTCTCTGCAGTTTTAATGATATTTGAGGTATAGAGGATTTCAAAGGTATCAGAATTTCTGATACCTTGGACGTCTAGTTTTGGCGATGTCTGCTAAAGAGTGTTTAAACGATATAGAAAAGATTGTATGAAACTTTTGTATATTTCCAACCCAATGGAGTGTTGCAAATATCCAAGGTGTTTTTGAAATGGTAAGATATTGTCGCATGCATTGCAAATATTACTATTTTTTACATAGGCGGTATTTTTATCTGCAAAATTAGACTCTTTTGATTAAAAGGTTTTTGGTGTCAGCAAAATTTTGTAAATAAGGCTGTTTTTGTCGAAAAAATATTATTTTGGAAAATGCAAAGATAGTTTGGAACCTGCCTAAACATCGTGGTTGTTCTCAGCATTTGGAAGTCATCGCAGCTTACAAAGAAATTTTGTTATTTTACGATTCTTATTTTATTCTCCATTGACTTCGTTGTTGTCATTTTCATCCATCCAGTGCTAATAATTGGGTGTATTATTTGGTATTTTAAAGATGCCAGTTTTCATGGTGATGAATTTGATACATTTATCTACGTTGGCGGCATATTGCTCGGATCCTCTGAGCTTGTACTGTTTACAATGACCGTAGAGCGATATATGGGTTTAACGCGCCCTTTGTTTCATAAAATAACTGTCACAAAGAGAAGAATAATTATTTTTATGAGCATAACTCACGTTTTTTGCTTTATTATTGAAATATGTAATTTCATCTTGGAAATTCCTTCAACTACCGTAGCTTAATACATTGTGCTATTTGTTACACTGTCTGTTGTTCTGGTTTTCATGATAACCTACAAAATGTTTGTCATCGCTAAATCAAGGACGAAAAACACACAGCCTTGTGATGAAAGAATTATTCAATACAAAAGATATTATGCTTGTGCATTCGCCGTTGGATGTTATTTTTTGTGTTGCACTCCAATCACGATTTACTATGGGCTGGAACTGACGAACACATTGACTGGGAAATCAAATATTTCTGCTTGTCTGTTTCTTTGGTCAGCAACAATACTAACTCTATGAATTCAACAATCAACTCGTTAATATTTTTCTGGATGAATAATGTATTGTGCAGTGAAGGAAAGAAGCTGTTGAAAGCCTGTGGCCTCTTAAAACCCTAGTCACCGTATATTCACCTGCGCAGACAACTATTTTAAAGCAGTGGCGGTTGAACACGTTTTATTGTTGCGAGAAAATTTTCATCAGTAGCACAAGTGTATTTAGAATATAATTAAAGTTAAACACTAAAACTGGGGATTCGCGGTCATGTTCCTGTAGACAATTTCGAAACATTAGAGCCTCATTTAGCTGTAAAATTTGTTAGAACTTTTAGTATTTAAACGTTTAAGCATTTTAACGTTTTATTACGCTAATTCGTGACTTTAAACAAAAATATTTATTCACACATGCTCAAAAATAAACCAGTAAGTTCGAAAACATAACTGTTGTTACTTTCATTACATTTGCTGGGATTGCCTGAGCTAGAAAGAACAAAATACCATTTTTTTATCGGGGAATTACTTTATTTGACAACAGTTGTGTTCTAATTTATTTGCCGATGGATCCCGATGTGTTGAGCCCTTACATTAAGGCATTCTTTTAACGGAATCAACAAATGACAAAACGCGTAGCACATTATTCATTTCCATACGACTGTCTTTATTTTCAAAATTAAAAATCTCAATGTCCACCTTAATTTTGAGATTGCCCCAAAGTCCGCCCATGCACTAGAGCCATGCGTCCGCGATCATTGGTGGTATCACAGCAGCTTTGCTTTTCCAGATTTAAATAGGAGTGACGAACTGGTATCGGAGGAAGGGGGGCGGGGATCTCCACAACCATTTGGTGTATTCCGACGAAACTTTCACTGGTTCATGGATGGTATCATGATAGCAGGTTGCAGTGGCTCTTATAGCGAGGCGAAATAAATACGAGGCGAATGAGTGTCCTGGTCAAGTCGATTGCGAAACTCACCTCCATACTTAATTATGTTGAGAACCTGAACTTCCTAGGTGATTGGCTGTTTGCAATAAACATGGCAAACCGGTTTGAAAAATAAACAAGCATTGAACCAATTATATCCTAATAAATATGGCAATGATTTTAATACTGCTTATTAATATGAAACCAGTTTGACTCTCTCTCGTCGTATATGACTAACTGTCTAGTCGACGTTACGCACCTGATCGGCTATCTGCTTATATACGAGTCGATTTCGTAGCACACTGTTAAATATATGAACAATAATTGAAGAAAGATGGCGGTGGCTGTTGTATTTCGGGAGTACTCACGGAAATGTTGCTGCGGGTAAGCTGTCCAGTTGTTCACCCCTTATTCTATTTCAGGCATAACACGGTAGCCGTAGTAAATCGAGAATTACGCCGCAAACCCATCGTTCTAAATATTGTTACAATTTTTCCTTCCTATTTCACTGTTAAAAATCCTATGTTTTTGTTTCTTGAAATTGCTCTTGTGTGCCGAGTTTATGAATGTTTTATGAGCTCTGACGAACTGTCATTTGTACAATGCCACTCGGCAAGGCAAGGCAAGACTGTATTCTCGGTTTAATTAATGTTGGGCATGTGATGAAGGCGAAAAATGAGAGCCAACAAGAGGCAGCCATTTCACATATTTCAGTCGTGGAATGCAAAAATACTGTACGCCGGGCACAAAGGGCGCGAAAAACGCCACATCTTGCGTAACACTTTTTCCATCTTGGCGCGCCTCGAAACGGGGAACTGGGATTGAATTTACGAGTCGCTAAAATGTCATATTTCAAAGGGTCGTAGAAGCAACGTATTAAAGTCGGATAAACGTCGGTCTACAGTCGTTGAAAGGACGTGAAACGAGCTTTATTTTGATACCAAACATGGCCGTATGCGTTTAGAAAGATGCTTTGTACACAACTGTAATGTTTAACGTTTTATAGATAAACTGCGATATAGCAGACAAAGCAAGATTTAACCCTTGGTCTATTTTCTTTACAACACGCAATCAGTAGATTCCTTATGCAAAAAGGACAAGCCCTGGTGTTCATCTGTTGTGCCTTCGTTTTGGTTTTCCAATTTAGTCGCACAATTGTTTGTAATTTGAAATCTACATACCCTGTCTGGCGGCTGTTGACTGCCATGCCACGTTTTAAGATCGGCGACCTGTCCAAAGAGAGAAAGCGACTGAAGGAAAAAGTTGTCATGGAAAACCGCAGTTTAGATGCACTTCATGATGAACTTTCTAAGTTGACAACTGAGAAGGAAAAGAAGAGAAAAGAGCTATGTAATATGAAAGCGAAACACAGAAGGCTGGACCTCAAGGTTGGTTGTTTTAATGTCAACGCATGTAATTTTAACCCGATGATTTGCTTAATTGCTTTGGGAATTTCTGCATGTTCGTTTATAAAAACCTCCAGAAAATAGCTTCTATTCAACCAGGCCAGATTTCATAAAATATCTCGATGTTTATAACAAGCTGTTGGGAAGATCGCTTTGTGGTATTTTGTTAACCTGGGGCTAAGGTCACCAGCTTTTGAACAGCAGGCCCCAGATGTTACCTTTGAGTCACATTGCTCCCAATGCGCCCTAGTTTATAATTTTACTCTGTCTAACGCCAGATGATTTTACTCGTCAAGGGGAGAGTGCTGGCATTTAAACAATAAAGTTGATATTAATTTTTTTCTGTGTTGGTGTTGTGTACTCAGGTGAATAATATGTTTGCGATGTTACTCTGAGTGCATATCCACACCGGGCGATCTTGGGCTAGTATTCCAAAGGTCGTAAGGTTCGAATCCCACCGTGGGCGGGCATATTTTTCAAGCTCGCCCGGTGTGGATATGCACTCAGAGTAACATCGCAAACATGTTATTCACCTGAGTACACAACACCAACACAGAAAAAAAATCATATTACTAGAACACATTGGTATTGAAGGAACTAGATACTGTTCAGAAATATCGCTTACTCGAACCGTCCTGACCGCGTAGCTCAGTTGGAAGAGCATTGGGCTAGTATTCCAAAGGTCGTAGGTTCGAATCCCACTGTGGCCGGGCATATTTTTCAAGCTCGCCCGGTGTGGATATGCACTCAGAGTAACATCACAAACATATTATTCACCTGAGTACGCAACACCAGCACAGAGAAGATTCATATTACAAGAACACATTGGTATTGAAGGAACTAGATACTGTTCCGAAATATCACTTACTCGAACCGTCCTGACCGCGTAGCTCAGTTGAAAGAGCATTGGGCTAGTATTCCAAAGGTCGTAGGTTCGAATCCCACCGTCGCCAGGCATATATTTCAAGCTCGCCCGGTGTGGATATGCACTCAGAGTAACATCGCAAACATAATAAAGTTGATATTTTGAATAATTATGTTAATTGTTACTTATGCTTTCTTCCTGCCTTGCTTTTTGTATATAAGATCGACAAGATAGTTAAAGAAGTTGAGGACTTACAAGACATAGAAAAAGAGCTAGTTCAGCCTCAGACATCAGGTAGTTCCAGAAACTCGGTGTAGTATTCAGTGTAGTGTTCAGTGTAGTGTTCATCAGGGTCTAAGATTTGCAGTATCCTAAACTGCACGAGATACTAAAATATGGCTTTGGGTGCCAAACTGGGGATTACCTGTATCTGGATACTTCAAAATTTCAGATATTAGGACTGTTATGTCCCTTATAGCCACCAGTCAGCTTGTGAATGCAACAAGTTTTCTGGTTTGACAAAATATATTGTAGTTTATTAAAAGATCATTTGCATTTTAATGTATTATTGATGCCATTTACTGACTTCAAAATGCATTTCAGCCAATAACTTTAGAAAATACATGTCAACCTGCACTCTGAATATAAAAGCAACTTGTGTGCTTGTGTGATTACAG